TGCTTCTACTAAATACTGAGCAAAGGGTCTGAATACTTATGACCATGTGATATTTCAGTTTTTCTTTTTTAATAAATCTGCAAAAATGTCAAATTCTGTGTTTTTCTGTCAATATGGGGTGCTGTGTGTACATTAATGAGGAAAAAATGAACTTAAATGATTTTAGCATATGGCTGCAATATAACAAAGAGAAAAATTTAAGGGGGTCTGAATACTTTCCGTACCCACTGTAAATCTTTGTTGTCGGTGCAGCATTGATTATATCACTACAGTTGCAGGTGTTAAATGTGCAGCATGATGAAGCACACCAATACACAGTATGTGACCTGTGGAATACTGATAGAGAAATACCATCACATTGTCTGTTTTGAGGTTAAACTGCCTCAGTTTATCATACAGAGGCCTGACAAAAGCCATCAGCTTTACATTATCAAAATAAACTTTTTCCAGCGGTGCCTTCCTAATGTTCCACTACGGTGAACAGTATAATATACTGATGGTAGCATGCAATCGTTCTGGTTGTTTCAGATTTTCAAAGTCAAAAGTATTTCTGTGAACTGCCAAGACGGATATAACGTGTCAGTTCGTCATGAGATATGTGAGAAATGCCCGCAAACCCACCTCCTATGGCGTTATGCCACAACAAGACACGCCTCCTCCTGCAAGTCACACTTACCTTATGTGCACATCCAATCCAACTTGGACACAGGTCCAGGACTGAAAAGAGAAAAGAATTGTCTGCACACTACGCTATAGATTTATTAAGCAAAACAAGCTAAGTTTCGACCAACGTAGTCTTTGTCTGGCAAATAAGAAGACACAAGTAGCATCTATAAATAGTGTAGGACAACGTGACCACACCCATAATTAGGGAATAACACGGCACACGGAGACATCAATACCAACAGTCATAATACACTACAGAACTATTTGCCCTGATTAATAGATCATAATTAATCAGTCTCAAAAAGTCAAAATAAAATGCTGAATCCAAATAACACCAATAGAAGGAGACAGCTCAAAGTACAAACAATCTGAAACAATTAAATCCACAGAAAAAAGAAAATACAAAACACAAAAATAGATTTACTGTATATCAAACAGTTTCCTTGCACCTTGTGATTCCCTAATGTGGTGTGGTTGTGCTGTCCTATTTATACAGCCAACTTCTTGATTATATGCCAGACAAAGACCATGTTAGTCGAAACGTAGCTGGTTTTGCTTAGTAAATCTCATGTGTGGACATTTTTCTCTTTGTCTTTTTGGTTGTGGTTTGGGGCAGAGTTTATGAGTGTAACTAGAGCGAAACTGGGACTGAGGAGGTAAAGTTTCTGTCGGTTCATTCAGAAGTGTTGAGAGCGGCTAAAATATATTTCATTAAAATTGTTACTCCTAAATCACAGCATCTTTAATCCTCAGCTCCATGTGAGGAACTGACTGGCACAATCACAGGAGGATTTCTTCACCTTCACCTCGTCACGAGTCTTTTGTATGCGAGATCTGTCTCCACAGCAGAGCCTTCAGATTATTGAGGATAAGTGAGTGCTCCATGTTCATCTGTCCAGCATTACCCTTCAGAGCCATACAGGCATACAGCTGCCGTTCCAGTTCCTCTCTCATCGCTGACGGTGCCCCACGCAGGAGGTAATCCTTCAATGCACTACATGCCTTTGCCAAGTTTGGCTGGACTGGCTCCTCCATGCACAGTTTTTCCGACACGTCACATGACGTCCGGCAGTCCACCCCATATACACAGTCAGCATCTGTCTCACACTTCAGCACTCGCATAGTGCGTCTGAACTCATCCTCAGGAACAACTGCTCGGGTGTTGGTAAGACGGAGTTCATGGCGCTCAGTGTAACCAAAGTGCACCGCGGCAAGGTCGCAGATGAGGAAGCTGCCGTAGGTGCCATGGAAGATGTCCTCCACCAGCTCCAGCAGACCCATGGAGATCTTAGCTTTGTGAGGCCATGAGGGGGTAAACCACTGGTCCATACTGCGCTGCATGCCGCTAGGTACCCAGGACACGAGCGGCCAGGGTAGAGACAAACCATACAGGGGCCTGTAGGGGACTCGCTCCATCATATACAGGTCCCCACAGTAGCCAAGGAGGCGTGGAGTGTGTCCACGGTCCTGAAGCAGCAAACCTAGCAGCACCTCAAAGAACAAAACAGAAATCTGTTTGCACAATGAGCAAAAAGACATTATAAGACAAAACAACATAATGGTTAATTTTCTTATTCATTGGCCTGTTATTATAGCCTACCTCGTCCATCTGCAGAAGGGCCCATGTAGAGCGGGCTTCTGGCAGTGACACCCGTCCATCTTTGTTGCCATCGGCAACAGACAGGATCTGACTGATGAGGTTGGCAAGGTTAGCCTGCTCTCCAAGCTTAGACTGAGAGATGAAGAAAGACAACAGACAGAGATGCTCGTTTTGGCCTTTGGTCTGTCATGTCACATATTCAGTTCCATCTAAACCTTTCTGAGTCCGTGATGCTTTACCTTGACGTGATTAAAGACCATCTCTCTGAACTTTTGCACTGATGTGCCTCTGGTGGGCTTGTCGAACATGGAGGCCTCTCTCCGTGGCTCCGGCTCCTCGCCCAGCTCATAATGCACAACCTCTCCCAATTTACAGCGGATAATCCCATCACGGTCTCCCCAGCTTCCTGTGTAAACCTGACAGTGGGGCACCAAACAAACATTTAACATGGTGAACATGACAAATAATCAGATTAGAGCCAGTCAGCCATGCCTTAGTCATAGGGTAGGATCACTGTTAAACGTAAACAGTTGAATCCAACATTGTTCTTTTACAGAAGACATGTTTAACAGGAAGTAAATATTTCCTACCTGGTTGTTTGGCAGTGTTGACAGACACCTGCCCATGTAGAGTGTTTCTTTGTCACACAGACTGCTGCAGGCAGAGCCATCGATTATTCCCCTCCTGTATTTATCACACTTGAAGACAAAAGGCAGACAAGTGTGTCCTTTTAGTTTTATTATCCAATATAAGAATGTTACTTTATAGGTAAGAAGTATTTTTACTCAGACACAGTTGCCCCGTAGAACTCAGATTACACCTTGACTTGATAGTTTAACAACCTGTGGTCCAGGTTTTCCTGATGCGAACAAGTTTTGTAAAGGACTTTTTACCAAACTATGTTCAGATTAACAGCATCTGAACAAATAAATGACATGATCCAACAAAACCATTACTCACAATGGCGTTCTTGCACTCGTGTCCTCTGCAAAGCTCTGTGTAAGCAGAGTACTGCACATAGAGCACCCAGCTCCCCACCAACACAGCCAGCCATGTAAGGAACAGGTACTTCACCCGAACAAAGGAGAGTCGAGCCTATGAAGGGAAAGCAGAAACAGAAATACAACGAATATCAATGAAACATTTAACATCCACAAATCCTGAACTCTACCTGGCTGTTAGTCAGACTGGCAGCTTTCTCTCTCTTTATATATACAGTAAATAGACTATCAACCACAAGTTTGGACAAACTGTCCTAATATTCTGGCCCTCTCATATACTGTATGTAGCTGGGGAGGACAAGAATGTAGAGACACCTCTAAATACAATGTAGTCCAGTACAACATCACCTTTAAGTATGACCTCAATAATAAACATATAGTTAAACTCAAACATTTTAAACTTCAGAAACACAGATGTTAAGGGGGAACTTTTGCATTGAAGTGTATACAGTTGTGCAGGTGTACCCAATAAAGTGGCCGGTGAGTGAAGGAAGGACAAATTGATAGCTGTGTTAATCATGACAGCAGTTTACAACATGCTAGCTGCTTAGTCTGGGTCTGTTCAAGCTCGATGGTAGCATGTTAGCAAAGGTCACTGTGACCACGAACTGAAGATGTGTCCTCACAATGATGCTAGTTGAAATGTGAAAGGAATGATTCATCCTCTGGGCACCATGAATATACATAATGTGCTATATTTCATTTAATTTATCCATAGTTGTCGTGATCAAACCTCATCAACTACATGGCTGCCCTGCATAAAAAGTCAGGGGATCACCACAGTAATACATGATCAATTCTCTGAGGAGCACAAATATCAAAACATTTTCACTGAAATCCACATGATAGTTGCTGAGATATTACACTCTGGACCAAGTTTGTAGAAAAAAAGCAGCAGAGAGACACTGCATGGCTAAAGGTTTACCACTAAAAGTTACTGGGGCCAAGGGTGATTTCTTAAAATTGCTTCCGAACAGCTGAAGTTTTCCTTTTATGTTATAAAACTACTCAACCACTGTGTCTGTGTTTATCAAAACTGATATTCAGTTAACCAAATAATCTCAGCAGTGCAGGCAGGAAGTGACTACTGTTGTCAGGGGGAAAAGTAGAACCGTAAACGAGAAGTTAGGGCAAAGTTTCGGTTTCAGCCCTACTATGCAATTTACCAAAAAAAAAAACTGCAGTTAGGTTTTCTCAAATGAGTGCAAGTGTAACTGCACTTGGGAGGATGATGTTATTTCTGATTCTCACTCTGATTACATGGGAGCAGCAGCTTATACTGTATGTGCACTGGCAGCGTGCTGTGGTTCTCCATTCACCTTAAGCACTGTTTCCAAATAACAAAATATGCACTCAGTGAGACAGGGATGTTTGATCTGCTGCGATAACTGTACAGTGTAAAATCTGTTTTGGGTCCATACATGCTGCACCTGGATTAAGGCAATCAGATGGTTCAAATTACTGCCATCAGTTCAGACTGGTTATAGATTTTTAAGGCATATAATTTTCTTCTTTGTGAGTTTTAAAAACCTAAATAAAACCCTAATGAGGTCCATGGCTCAAATTTCACAAATCCCCACTCTCAACTATACAGACTTAACAGAAAATCTGAGAGAGGATACAGGAAGACCGTAACTTTCCTGCCCCCAAATTTCTTTGGTGCATTCCATCAAGTCGTCAGTAGGAGTGTGTTTTAACGGTGTCTTCAGGCTGAGCAGACATCTTTTAAATCCTCTGTGTTCTGAAGACATGATCAGATAGTGTGGCCTCAAGGGAGCGAACCGGAGGTATCTGGGCAGTACAAACTCTCTGCATGCTACTATCAGAACTGGCTGTGTTGGTGTATATGAAAGTGCTGAGCACAGAAAATGTATGTGCAACAAACTCACACAGACAGTATGGTGAGATGAAAGACAGTTTGTAAAAGACGGGTGACTTCGGGTCATGTGTGCACGTTGTTTACCCGTCTGTCTCAGTGTTTGTAGAAATACATAATTAAGTTGTTAGGTTAAAGAAGTGAAACCTGAGGAGCAAAAGAGCTTAATCCTTCATTTACACCCTGGTAGTATAACACAGATACACCCTGGTAGTATAACACAGATGAGGTTGTGTGAGATGCAAACTACTGAGGATAATAGGAGCTGGTGTTGCAGTTCAGTGGAGTGTGCACAGTCAGATAGTACAAACACCATAGTGCAAACTGTAGGGTTACTGGCTGTCAACAGATTCAGTTACACAACATGAACCCTCATGAAGTATTGACTGTGTTATTGTGCAGTCACAGCATCAGAGACAAAGAACCTACAGTATCACATCTTTATACATTGTGCATATTAAAGCCTGTTGCTTTAGGAACCCTCACATTTCATGTTGAGTTTGGAGGATGTTGGCCAGACATTTGGCTGTTATCCTTTTCTTTTCCAGCCCACAGAACTCTACGGGACAGAGCTTGTGTGCTGGTCTCCAGCTGAGATGCCACTGATTCCAGCAGACTGCATCCCAGAGTGGAAACATGTCTTTACAGGCCGATCAAACCCTTCCTAATATCTAAGTCTGCAAAACAGAGCATGGTTTACACAATATAAGAGTTGCAATGTTGACATCAAAAAGGCCCAACAAACAAAATAGAATGCCACAAATTCTGAAGCTGGCTTTCATGTGACTTCCTGAACTCTGGTACTGCAAGAAAAGGTGTGAAATTCAAAAGCCATCTGCCCTACTTGAGTCATGCGGATGTTCAGAAGTTCAGTGGCCGTGTGGTTTCATCCAGAACAGGAGCTGTAGGATGGCAGCTGGGCTTGCTCCACGAAACTGGATACTGAGTTAACTGGATAACTTCAGTACAATCAAAACATCGGACCCCTTCAAATCTGGAACATACACTGATGAAAACCGGTTGTATTCAGCAAAGTTCTCAGATAACACTGTAAACCTGTCAACTGAACAACCCTGTGGACGTTGGTGTAAACCAGACACCATGTTCTGTAACCCCTGCCTCTGCCAGTTGCTACTACTAACATAGCAACAAAACCCATGACAAGACTTGTTTTTAGACTTGGCATAAGTGACTCTACATTATATTGTGTGCTGAACTTTTACTTAAATATAAGACGATACTACTTGGTTTAGAAGGAAAGCTCCAAGTGGGCTACAGAAAGGACAAATTTGTGAAACCGTTGTAGCCTATACCAACCCCAAAATGGTGGCTATCCTTGTACATAAATTTTTATGAAATAAACTCTGTGCCAACACTGGAATAGATGCAACCCTTATGAATGACACAATACAGTATAAAAACACATATGCAACCAATGTGTCCACAAATATAAGCACACTTTGTTCACTTTTTCTAGGTATAGAAATCACCTCTGGACAAAAAAACCACTACAGCATATAGTGTTGCATGTGCATCTCAGTGTATGTACAAGTGTGGGATATGAAAATCAGACTGTACTATATATCATAATGCAGCAACAGGTTTTGTCTTGCAAAAACAACACTGTACTCACTTCCTCTTGCATAATCCCCTTATTCAGTGTAGTATACTTATAAGTATTTGCTGTCAGCAGGTCACTGGTTCCGAAAGCTGAGGGTTTAACCCTTTTTATCCAACCAAAACGATTACTGGCACTATGGTGATGAAACAACTGCGAGATGTGAGTGAGTGAATGTGAGACAGCTCCTCAGTCCTGGTCTCCTTCTGTCTGGCTTGGGTTATAGTTTTCCACACACACTCTTAGAGCTAGGCCTGCACTCTGATTTTTTACTAACCTGTCTGGATCAGCAAAGACTAAGCTAATTTTTCATATGCGGTTACATTCCCGAAGCAGCCTGAGTGCCAGCTGTCAGTCTGATGTGACACCAGGAGGACCCCATTAGATGGGCTCGCAGTCGATTTCTACAAGCCGCAGTATGCATACCGATAACCAAAGCAAGGATTACCTGGAAGTAAAAAGACTTTTTCACCCAGGCCCGAGGAAACAGACTCTTCGCCATCACAAAAATAGATCATCTCAATTCGTTGACGTGGCTGTAGGGAATCATCCAAAATACGTGCAAGAGAGCAGCATCCACATCAAAAGACTCATCTCGTTTACTAAACCTGCAGAAATAAATGCATCATGCACGATTTCAGCCCCAGTATAATCCACGGCCTAGACTGTCGATTTGTCTTATCCCTGTGGATCGCTCTGATACGGGACTTGACTGTACATCGGCTGTGTTTTTCCAACAGCGGCTGATCTTCAAGCGAATCAGCAACAAACCTCAACCTGGGGAAACAACTGTATGTTCAGCCTTTGCGCAGGCGCAACTTCTTCCTCTACCAAAAAAACAAAAAAACGTTTCAGTTCTCCAACCAAACTGACGACAGCGTTGGTCAAAATGTATTTATGGATCTGTGCTGTTATCGGATTGTTAAGTTACATTGTGTTTTCCAAAGTAAAGCTGTGATCGGGTCAAGCTACTAATAGGACTAAAATACGCCAAGTCTTTCAAAATAAAAGCCATATTGTTTAAATGGTGCTCTAACGACAAAACACAACTTCCGGTCATCACACCCAAATTAAAAATGTCCTGCCTGACAATATTCAATAGTACATGATGGTGCAACAACAGCGTGTGGCCAAAGTTTGCTTTAGTTTATGAAATACCGCGACTTTAAAGTTTTGTGCGCATTGAATAATCACGTTTAATGTACGAAACATCTGAGCGTTTAGTAATAATGTTGCGTCTTTATCCACACAGGCAGAAGAAACTCAACAGAAAAGATGCCACATTTGACCAAAAATAAATACACTATTTGCTTCTTTAAGGGGCGGATATACTCTGCTTGGTAAATGCCCTGCCTACAATTTCAAATGTTTGAAAAAAGGTGTACGTAACAGCCAGCAGCAGTCGTTTAAGAGCTTCCCACAATGCACTCCCCGATCATCAGCGGGAAGCCAAAATGGCGAACATGCTGGGGGAAAATGAACCGTTTGTTATTTTCTGAAGCAGACACAAGTTTTCGTGATATACTTTTGAAATAAATTCTGCGACAAAAGGAGCGGGATAACCGCGGCCATCCCTGATCAGTATTTTTGTCATACGAGTTATTTGTAGAAGCGGAGGTGACCGAATGAGGTATTGTTGTCATCATGTTTTCCTCATGTTGGGGGGTGTGGGTCCGGGTCCGACGGTCAGTGACCTGGCCAGGGTTACGGCTTTGTGGGAGGATTATTCATGCTAACAATCAGAACTGGTTGCTAACTATACAAAACTGTATTTTAACAAGCGGTGCTGTCTTTTTATCCTGTCTTGTCGTTGGCATTGATCATGCTCACTCGGTATCCGAACAAAGGGAACCGCAGACTTAGGGACAGAGGCTAAAAGCACACAGGGAAAAATAAATAAATAAAATTTAGGTTAAATCTCTAACACATTCTGTGAGTAATGTTTGCAGCATAATATAAAAACGATATCAAATGTTTATATGTTTATATAAGTACAACTGACAAACTGTCAATGGCATTTGTTATGTCTGGGTAGTGACATTAGCTTAAAGTTAATCATGAGTATAATCTAGCGCCTGTGTTGTTTGTATCCACTGGAGGGGAAGTGGCATGCATTTTACCTTAAGCTCTTCTCTAGCACATAACATTATATCTTCCCTTATCTTTAGATATGCAGGACCATTTCCACGGAGTCACAATTTTAGCTGCATAGAATTTCTTTTGAGCTTAGACCGTGTTGTACCTACATTTTTACCCTGACTCAATGAAAAAAACACGTACGTAATTCATTGTTGTGAATGAAACTCCAAGCACACTGTCAGGAAAACATACTGAGACTGTGAATGACATGTCCTAGAAAATGCTGTAACATATGATTCACTTGGTTCCCTATTTTAAATGCATGCCTCTTTCATCGCCTCTCCCTGTTTTTCAGAGACACAGGGGTTGTGGATCACCTGTCTGTCCATCACAGAGCTCACCCCCAGCGGCAGCAGCAGGCGGTGTCCCTGTCCACTGTGAGCCTCTCTGCTAGGGGGGAGTATGGAGATGACGGGATGTCTTCCGGGTTTACAGAGGGACAGGATGTCTTGGCTCGGTGGTCAGATGGTTTGTTCTACTTGGGGACAATCACAAAGGTTAGTGAGAGGGAAGCACTTCTTCTGGAACTGTACTTAGTTTTCTGTCATAATGCCACCAGATTCCTATACTCAAACTTGAGGCTTGGCATTGAGGCTGTAAGAACAGTGTAGGTTTTAGAACCACATCAGACCTGTTTGTCATGGCTTTTTCAGATAGATCGGGACAAGCAGCGATGCTTTGTGGTTTTTGAGGATCGATCAAAGTCTTGGGTTCTTTGGAAGGATATTCAGACAGGTAAGTTCTTTCAGCCCCAAGTCCTGCATGTTTGTGAAGTATCTGGCACTTAAGTAAAAATGCAGTTCTTGATCATTTGCGGGGAATCTTAACTCTATGTGCCATTTTATTGCCTGGCTCCACCTGCATGGTAAATTCCATAGTTTTTAATAGAAATTTTACTTGAAATCCTGAATTGTTATTGTACTGTCCACACCCCTGTGTGCCTACTTCTGCCTGACTTATCTCCCCACTTTGCAGCTGACAGTTAACTGTCCACAGTGTCTGGCATCAGTAGGGCAGCAGTGCACAGACATCCACTTCCAGACCATTCAATTAAAATGGAAATATGACACAGATTTCCTTTGTAGTAAAACTTGACATGATTTGTGACAACATATTTATGACAGCCACCATTTACTTGGACATTTATTTTTTACATACTGACTTTTTTAAAATTGAGCTGATCCACGTGTTGTTCAGTGCTGTATTATGGTTTAAAGAAGTTAATAGCAGTTGAATATCTTGTTTTCTGCTGACCTCCAGTGGTTGAAGTTATCATTTTGTAGCAGTGATGTAGAAGTCTCTTTGTGGTGTTTTAATACATCGTGACATTCCTGTTCAGTGTGATTACAAATGCAACAAACTATTAGGTTACTCTTTACAGGGTCAGTTCCTGCACTATCCTAAAAAAACAAACATTTTCTTAGGTTTCTGCTGAGACATCAGTACTACAAATGAATAGAATTTAGTTTTGTTCTCACTGCATCAAAAAAACATTTACAGATTTGAAAATGTGTGTTTTGGCATCCTGATTACTCAGAATAATCCAGACCCCCTTTTTCCCCCTCAATCACAAAAGTAGTCCCTATAGTCACTTCATTGTTGATGTTGTCAAAACACAGATCAACGTGCTTATTTTCCTGTATAATGGCTAGCTCTCTGTCCATTTCAGGGGTTGAAGATGAAGAGGATGATGAGGACGATGACATTGTGTGCTCCATATGCCAGGACGAAGCTTCAGAGGAACCCAATGAGATAGTCATTTGTGACAAGTGTGGACAGGGTACTGTTTTTTTT